CAGCCCCAGGTTTGCGTGGCGAGGCTGGGATGGCAAGATAAGCGAGGGAACAAATACAGTAGAGACTTCAGCCAGCCCCCTCCTAATTCTAGGCAGATTATTTCGGGAAGCTTTTTCACATTGTAACTCATATATTACATCTGTACCACAACTGAAGTGGGAAAATGCTAAATCAGAATTAATGCAATTTTAACTGCACCTTAGATAAGCTACTGAAAAAAATAAGATTAAATCATATATCCTTATTAAACTAAAAGATTCAGTGAAAGGTGGGAAAGAGGTCAGAGGCCACGCTGGGCCAAGTCCTGCAAAACCTTTGAACTGTGGATAAGGTCCGATCTTTGCAGCGATCGCCTGCAAGGCCGACTCTCTCCTGAGGGGGGGGCCAGGCTCTCCAGGCAGCCCCTGGTCACACCGGGTGGCTCTTTGTGCCGCTCACGAAGGCCTCGGCACGCTGCAGCCCACACACGGCCACCGAGGGTCAGACAACACAGCCGAACCAGGTGGCACGTTAAGGACAGAAAAAGATGTGATGCAGATGAAGGGAAGTGGGAGGTTTCAAGAAATTCTTCCTTTCGAGAAACCCCGATAAATCTAAGCTTATTCAAACCATATGGAGCGAATGCAAACAGCCAACTCTCTGTACTGCACAGCCACGACTCTTGTGCCGGCAAACCAGCTTCACCCTTGGTAGTCTTCTCCTTTCCCACAGGCTTTGCTCGATCCAGAGAACAGCATGGTTAAAAAGACAAGAGAGGTAGATTACAGTCATGATTAAAAGCAGATTAGTCATCTAGGCTTCGATTTAAAAAACAGATTCCAGAAGATGCCAAGAGGTTGCTGCTTCCAAAACTAGCTTTTTCAAAAGTCTTCTCCCTCCAGAGCGAGTGTGAGTGCGTGTCCCTGAACAGAGCTCAGAAGAATTGCTACATTATTCTCCATCACGGGACACCGGTATTGCTGTTGAGCTGTAGTAGGCGACGTGAAAGGCAGACTGCAGGATGGTGCTTGTGCTCTCGGATGTGTGGGAAGCTACTTCCGAAGGTACCTCTGGGCCAGGATAGCTGCGTCCAAAGGGTTCATTTTTTCGTCGTGGCCCAGGCGTCGCACGGGGGGGATGTTCCCAAACTGCCGCTTCTGGAGAAAGCTCTTGGCCTCATGCAAGGTGTTCTTCTCCTCAGCCAAGAGCAGCTGCTGCCTCATGTAGTTCTCAAACTCGTACTGCGAACACTCCTCCGTGACCTTCACCTGAGAGAGAACCGCCCCGTCAGAGCCACAGCAACAAGCAACAGCCCCACAAGCCCCCTCCGATGGTGCTGAGCTACCACGGGACAAACTGAGTCTTAAGGCAAGAACTGGACCTGCTGCCAGACGTACAGGCAGGACTCACTAGTGCCACCAGGAACAGAGGTCTGGAAACCCCAGTGGCTCTGTCCTGACGCAGCTCATCCCACCTCTGCCAGATATCCAGGGGCTGCAGCTGTTTGACCCCAGTTCTCCCAACCCCCCCCCAGCCCTGCAGAGGGATTTCTGATGGCAATACCGACGGCAGCAACGCAGGCAAGAGCTCCTACGAGGCTGTCCCCAGGCAGTGAGGTCACCGGCCGTCACTTCCAACACAAAACACACTGGCAAGAAAACAGGATGTTTGCTCCCATCACAGAACTCACCAGGGAGCCTGAGCCAACCAGCACTGCTACCTCCTCCCGGCTCTCCCAGCACATGTGAGCTGCGTGTGAGGGAGCGAGCGCTGCTCGGAGAGGAGCAAGCCACCCCTCAGCCAGCTCCGGGGCCACTGAGCTCACTTCCAGGCAGCGTGGCCAACCGTACAGGAGCCCTTCCTTCCGCTGCACAGGACTGATGGACTTGGCCACCTCATAGAGCAGTGGCCACAGCTGGGTCCTCACCGCCCTCCCCTCACCAGCTCGGGGGCTGCCATCTCTTTCTGTCACCGCTTCCCTGCCACCATCACCTACCTCTTGGGGGTTTTCAGGGTTAGCCACTTGGTCATCGATGTCTGGCACCACTTGCAAAGGGCCACTCAGCGAGGACATGGACTGCCTGGGGGCAGAGCACAGCGTCAGGGGTCTGGAGCACAGCACCAGCTCACCCACCCTCACCCAACATGCTGCCCGCCTGGCTGCAGAGGGACACCAGCATGGCACCGAGCTGCCTGGATGCCACACCAGCTACTGCTACTAAAGGACACTATTCCACATCCAGCCTCCAGGATATGAAATCATGTAACAATCCCAGAGCAACTTTTTTAACAGGATGTGGAACTCTAACTCTTGCATAGGTAGGAGAGAAAACAGCCACAGCTCCAAAAATCACAGACTCCACTGCTGACTCAACAGGCAGCACAAGAACTTTGCCTGGGCACGCTGTGCAACGCAGACAGAAGGTCACGGGGCTGACAAGAGAGGGCTGCACCGAGCAAACACCACCAGGATCCATTTCTGCTGGAGTATGCTACTGGAATCTCATCCCAGTTGGTTCACACCAGTCCTGCAGCCAGATTTACTCTCAAAAGGCATCCCCACCCTGCACGTGTAGTGCTCCCACCTGTAACGGCATCTCCTGCTCTCCCCCTCTGCAAACCTCACGCCTGCTTTCACTTCACGGACAATGCCAGGCTAATCACACGCTCGCAGGAAGTGTCTGCATTGGGCTGCTGCTGTTTGCACACGTAAGATATCCCTGACCATTAGACTTCCTTCAAAAATCAAATCTGGGGAGCACAAGGGAGGCACAGCAGCAAAGGCCCTCCTGCATCCCAGTACTGTTTTGTAGTGCTACTGCATTTGTCCAGGCCACTCTGGCTGTGTCCATCAGCAGACACCAGTGGTCGAGACAGGATTTAAAGACGTTTTTGCAGTGCTCACAGATCCTCCTCTGGTGTCCTGTTTATCAGCAGTCTGCTGGCCACAGCTGCAATAACACAGCCTGCGGCCAGAGACGCCACGTTCCTGTCTCTCTCCTCTTGCACGTACCATGATGCTATGATGGAGCTGAGAGAATCCAGCACCTCAGACGCTGTCAGACGCTGCTGCGGGTCCAAGACCAGCAGTTTTCGGATCAAGCACACAGTGTTTTCTGAGACCCGTCCGTCCCTGGCAAAGAGAACACGGGGTGAGCCCAAGCGCCTGAGCCAGGCAGAGGCAGCAGCAGGATGGACATGCTGGGAGCACCGTCAGGAACTAGAGGAGCCACCGTTGCTCTGACCAAGAGACCCCAAAATGAAGCAGGAGGCCGATTCCCTGTCCCTGCAGCACGGGGCCTTTCTCACCTTTGCACAAGATGCCTCAGCTCCGCTACTGTCTCCTCGGTGTCTGCTGCATGCAGTCTTTGTTCTCGTTACTGCTGCAACCCTCGGGGGCTTTGAGAGAAGCCCCTCCAGCTCCGGCTGTCCCAGTAAGGCGCCAAGCACCACCCGCACAGGCACTTAAGAGAAGGGCCTCCCCGGGACAGGCTGTACTCACTCAGGGATGGTGTACTCGGCAGCCTTGATTTTGCGGAAGAGCTCCTGAGGTATGCTGTCGTAGAAGGGGAACTGGCCATAGAGCATGGTGAAGAGCACCACACCCAACGCCCACATGTCACTGGGTTTTCCACGGTACGGCCGTCCTGCAGGGAGCAAGGAGACACAAAAGCAACAGGCTTTACGACACTGCTCACCCGTGCGGCCCACCACCAGCAGCAAAGGCACTGAAGCAACCTCTGCATGCGAGCCGTGTTTCTAAGCATTAAAGATGCTCAAGGCTTCCTCTCGCCAGACACTAACAAACTCTTTCAGAGGTCCATCCTTTGCGAATAAGCACGCTGTTCACCTCCACACAGGTGTCCTCCCTCTCCCTACAGAGCTGAACGGCCTTGACGTGAAGTAACCAGAACCACTGCGTACGGTGCTGGAGTTCCCACTTCCCTCCCCTTGGCCATCCCTGCAGGCTGTTGGCACCGGGAGCCCCTGAGCCTCGCAGGCTCCACGTATGCACCCTGCTGCAAGTCCGGGTCAGAGGAGAAGGGGATTTAAGGGCCAGCGAGCACAAGGCAGGGGGAGGCAGGAAAGAAAGCCCAAGTGCTTTTCTGGTGAAGGGTGGCCCAAGACTAATGCCAGCCTCACCACCCTGGCTTCACAGTGCAGCCAAAGACCCTCCACACCTGGCTCAGAGTGAGATAGGCCTCTGCCTCCGGGACAGATCCGGCACACGGCCGCTGGAGCCTGCTGCAAAGCCACAGAGGGCTCAGGAAGGTGCCTCTTCCATGTGGAGGCATTCCCAAAAGCTGCTGCAGCCCCAGCACGCCCTGGGATCCACTTGATGGAAATGCTGCTTTAAAGCCCCTTCAGTCACACAATAAATCAGCAAACGGCAGCGTGCATGAGGGTCCAAAAAACTAAACTCTGGTGCTGTGGCACAGCATAGGACTGAGGGAATGGCTTCCTCTGACTCACGCACTGAGTCACTGCTGCAGCATTTGTTATTTGTACTAATTATTCTTTGCTTTATATGCTCAAAAAAAGGCACCTCTCCCTCCTCCTTCAGCTTTTCCTGCTGTGACATTTCAGCAGCCATAAAACACAAGGCATCTCGCAGCAGAAGACAGCTTCTCCTGGAGACCTAAAACAATGATTAATTCTTCAGGCGTTTTAGCTTCCTCTTGCGCAGGAGTATTACCAGCACAGACAGAGGGATGCTCAGAGTCTGAAGGTGGTGGTGAAGCCTGGAATGTCCTCAAGTAACTTTTTCCTCAATG